AGGGCAGTGAACCGCTGAGTCTAAAATTACCAACTCCCTGGTCGGTGAACACGCCTACATTAAAGATTTAATTGGCTTTCCCAACCAAACAATTGCCGACCGTAACACATAGATACAAAGTCATCAATCTGCTCTTCTTCAGAAACTCGCTCTGTCTCTTCAATTTCATTTGAAAGAGGTAAAATTCTAGTTTTTTTCCAACAATTTACAATAACCTGTTGACTAACTATAACCCCGTCCCAAGCATTGGCTACCATATATATTGCATCTTTAATAGTAAACAGAATGGATTCAGTATTATTATCCATTGATGCGTCATATGCATCTACCCTATTCTGAATGAACATACGCCTGTAGTGAGATTTGAAAGCAGAAATTATGCCTGCATCGCAAGGCTGTAACACATATGTTGTTCGAGGGAGTAGGAAATGTAAGACTATGTTCGTAAGACTGTCAATTTTCTTGTGTGAGGTTGCGTTGTCCATGAGTAAGATTATTTGTCGATTTTGTCGACGTAGTTGAGCATCGAATTTAGTAAGCCAATCAACATAAATTGAATCCTACGAATTGAGAATTAAATTCTTAGTATGGATAGTGTAATGTTATCCATAAATAGTGTAAATAACCAACCTGCATCCATGCTGTCTTATTCCAGTAATAATCGACTGGAAGATTGTTGATGTTTATCCCCTTCAAAGGTCGTGGTGTCTTGGCATTATTGATTATTAGCGGTGGTAATTTCTCAGTACCAGTAGCATTCATGGTTAAAAGGACCGTGATACGAGCTTTTGATTTTTTTCTTCCACTAATTTGAGACCGAGATAAGACTCGATTTGGCTCTCGCGCCCAATACAGTGCGGTTTCGTCACAATTAAAAATGTTATATAGTTCCCAATTCTTCAAAACTTCATTGAGATTTAAACGTTCAGTGTCAATCTCTTGCTGTGACGGGGCACTTAACACTTCACCATGCTTAAGGTATGATTTTATTCCATGTCTTAGTTTAAAACCAGCGAGCCATCCTTCAGACGCCTTAAAATCTGTTATTCCAAGTGACGATGCAAATTTATCCGCTTTATTAAGTAATGCCGCGCCGTCAATGTCCTGGTTACCAAGGAAGATGCGTTCGATCCAAATGGTTATTGCTTCTTCTAGTCTTGGCCATTTGGGTGGGCGATATTTTTTGACAGTGGCATCTGGACTGTCATCCTGAACTGCCAACCAACGTTCTTTTTCTTTAAGTATATCACCAACAGTACTAATTCCACATTTAATCGTGTTGCGAGGTCTGTTAGCGTGAGATGCGGATATTCACATTTAACGACACATATCTCTCGTTTCTGCAAAGATGTTAAAGAAATTCGGCTCCGTTTTGATTTATCAGATAAAGGTTGATCTTTACGTCTTTTTATTACCATTTTATAAAATAAAGCAAGAGATATAGCGACAGAAATATAATGAACTCATATCGTAAATACGCCGTATCACGTGTTCTTTCCGGTATAAAGAAATTTTTTTATTAGTAATTTGCACTAGCCGATCCTTTAAAATTCTTCCGGATGCGGTATATGGAGTTTTATAAGAGATTTCCGTTATAAACAAAGAATTTTTATATGGAACGAACGGTGCACAAGAATTTGTCCGATATAAAGAGATTCCGGTATATACACGTCCGGTATAAACAGGTTTGACTGTACTTGGCGTATATACAGAGCCTGGAAATTTGTGGATGGGGTTGTAAGAAATTGTAATATGTGACGCGATATCCAATGGTGTAAACGATTATTAATATACTGCTAAATTTGGCCAGTTAAAATATCAGCTATGCCGAACAACGAAAGACTGTGAAATTTATTAGACGATAGAAACTACGGAAAATTTTTATTCCACGCATGACCAACAACGTTGCTGTCTTTACTTCAGTATTTACTAAGTTCTACTCGTAAAACATTGAAAGTTAAGCATAAAAATTTATACTACTCATAAAACAGCTGTCAAATAGTCGAAGTCTTCGTAACCACTATGAAGTCGAGGACAGTAACTCCACCCGTATCTATCACAGATTCCTCCCTAGAATCAAAGTCACCCAGGTCGTTCAACGGCATTTTGAATGTAAATAGCTGATAAGTAATATAATAGTATTTGTTAGGGGGTATTAATTAAATTAGAGTTATTATATTTATTAATTATTGTACATACAGTATTTTTTCCAGGAGCCTTGTTATGATCCAAAACGGCGATATTAAGCGTTTGAGGTAGCGCTTTGAGACGGAAGAGAAAACTTTTTTCCCACTTTGGTCTTAGAGTGCGTTCAAAATCTGACCTCTGATGACGACTGTTATCTACCCATAGCTCGACATATGCATTGGCTACAAACAAAGTAATACGCAATATCTCAGTACAAGTTATTTATTTGAAATATCAAATAATTTTGGCTGTTAAAGTAATGATAATAAACTGTAGAGTTAATGCGGTTAATCTATAGAATATTATAACTTACGAATTGGTTTTGCCGCAGGCAGTTGACTATGTCCGCCGTTTACTAATTAGAAGAGGTTAGCATCTAATACTGTGCTATGTTACTTGTCAAGAGAGTGTTGATATCTACCGAGAGCAACTATAATAATATAGTCTGCACTGACATGGCTCAATAAGCAAAAAATTGCGAATAAGAGAAGCATAATAATTGGGTTAAAAGCCATTGTTTAAATGGTTTGTTTGTATGCTGACCGACTTTTTCACTGTTAACGTGCGAGGACATGTTTATATAATCCACGAAGAAAATTTGTGATTGTACACTAGACAGTCTTACATCTATAATGCTAAAATTTTTGATGCTACTGTCAAAGAGGTAACTAACCAGTTACGAATTTGTTCACAGGTTTATTCATTGTCGTGATTCTTACCTTTTCTTTCAAGCACATCAGCCATGCATATTATTACATCAGAATTTAATGTATGGTATTTATAAGGGCGCATTTCAATAATAGATAAGCAAAAAACAAAATGCAAAAGTTTTAAAAAATTGGATGCTTAATGTCAACCATGACGTCTGTTCTGATATGAGTAAGAAGAGAGAGAGAAATAGATTGCTTTTATTAGTGTTAAAATATTGTAAGAATAAGTTATTTAAGCTATTCGAGAATATTTATTCACGTTCAGATAAACCGAATCTGATACGCTCAGTACACATGGCGGAACGTCACAAGTAAAAATCGTCAGAGCATGCACTTGTTTATAAGTAGAAGTGATATGCACTTTACTATGGTCCTATTTATTTCATCTTTCCGATTCTTTGTCACTGTTTCCATTTTTAGCAAGAACAGGAAATGAAATAAATATGTCAAATCTTCCTTAGCGTAAATAATTATCACATTTGGTTAAATTTAAAAGTAAAAAAAAAAAATTAATAAGCCTCTACTATATGTCAACAAATCATATATTAGCGACAATACTGTATAACGCTCTACTGTAAAATGTGTCATCAATTTTATTTTCTTTATACACATTTTGTTCACATTTTAATTTCGTTTCTTTTTTGATGAAGAACAAAATGGACACAAGTCTGATATTGTTCATTACCTAAATTAGATATTCACCCCCCATGCATAAAGCGGAGCAGATCTCTTGCAATTCCATTTGTATGGCAGCCAATAAAACTGCAATGCGGAATCACGTTCTGCCCTTTCCCCAAATTTGGAGGTAAAACAGAAACAGGAACATGAGATAAATAGAGCACAAAATCTCTTGGCAGAATACCCGATGATGTAAACGTTATCAAGTATGGTATTTCATACTGATAAATTTAACCAAAAATATCGGTTATGCTTAAATGGCATTCTGTAAATGTTTCAAAGAACAACGAACGGCCGCAAAATTTATTAAACGACAATCAAAAACTACGGAAAATTTTTATTCACCTATAACTAGTAACAAACGTCGCTGTCTTATTCAAACGGGTCGGTTAAGTTCTATTCGTAAAGCATTGCCACAAAAAATTTGTACGACTTTGAACAATTGCCAAATGATCGATCCGTTGTAAGTACTATGTGGGTCGACGATAATTTTAGTGTTACTTTACCATCAACGTTTATCAGAGTCAATTCGAATTCGGTCAGCTAATGATAAGTTAATACAGTAATATCTGTCGGGAATTAGAATTATTATATACAGTAAGAAAAAAGAAATCAAACTTTTGGGGAAAGAGGTGCGTCCCTATGTAGTTTATTAAGAAATTGCGGCTATTTAAAAATAGGAATAAATTAAATAAACATAAGCTATTCATTCGAACTCATTATGTATAGTCGAAAAGTCTAGTTTATTAGTTGCTTATATCAAAAAGTTTTTGGTTAATTAGTATAGTTCTCTTTCGTGTTGATTTGGTTTGGGCAGCTTAACTGGATTTGTTTCCGTTATTAATACTCGTTCAGTTGATGGCTATTACTTTTGGCAGTAGTAGTGGCAGTTTTTAAAAATTATTAAATTTTGTTAACAAACTGTATGTTAATGATGGTAATGGTAGTGGTATACAGTGTGAATGAGCAGCGAACCCACAAGCATATTAATATAGCCAAGTGGAGTGATTCAATCAGTATGGATGCTGAAGAAGTTAGGAGTTGGGAAGAATAGATGGGACAAATTACTTCAACTAGTAGTAATGGACTATAGAGCCACAGTACAAGCAACAACAGAACATACCCCAGCAAGTTTGCTCTTTGGATATCAGATAAGATTACCAATCAAAAGCAAGTACCCATTCCAACTGACCATACACAACTAAAGAATTGCACCATGAACCCTTCAAAGCTGCAGCACTTATTGAACAGAAACAACAGCTGGCAAGGACTTAGCCAATCCTTACCAAGTCAGTCACTTAGTTATGTTTGTGTAACTGATGGGACACCTGAAGCTATGTAAGTGGGGCATGCCTGCCTCCAATTGCCTATACTAATACTAATACATTTCTGTTGCTCCTTGATGAAGACTTGAGGAATTGATCTGTCATAGTTTCTTTCTCATTGTAGTTGTATAAATGGAATAAGTTGCTTCATGTTGTGATGGTGATGTTGCAAGAGTAGGTCTTTGATCAATAGTGTGTGTTTGTTGATTCAGTAATATCCAAGCACTTGTCCTTGCTGGATGGGAAATACATTGATTGCAGATGGGATGAGAATGTGGCAAGAATCTTTCCCTCTTCCTCACTGTCAAATACAAAAATATCCCTATTACAATGACTATTACTACACCATCAAATGAAGAGGTAATAGAAGAGTTGAAGTTGTCATGTACCAATAACAAGTTGATGACTGGAAGAAAGACCATTTTGATGAGTGGGTTGGAAGATCTATCTCAGCAAACATGGAGTACAATGCCACTCATTCTGACCTGGCCTGACATGAACTCACTGCATTTATTCCCTTCCTGGATGCAGACAACTTTAGACATGTGGATGTGATGACTACAGTGAGGAAGTTTCTTCACAGATTGAACTTAAGCACTATTCCAGCATGATTCCTCATGCTCCATTCTTTAACTACATTCAATCAAAAATAATGCTGTTTCCCAGCACAAACTATTCCGAATAATCAATAATAAAGTTTTCTAAATTTATTTTTTAGCATTTATACAATGTATAACAAGCAGTGAGGAGGAGTCATTGCTCAATGAGCATCAAGAATTGCAATCATATTTCAACAGAAGCCTATTACAATCAGCACACAGGGCCAGAGTCTGGGAATTCTCTAGGTAGATCATGGGATTAGAGTTTGTTACCCTTGTTAGAAGAGATCCAGCACATGCTCATTGATGTGTAATTGTGAGCTAGTTGCAATTACAAGATTAAGAGTGCTGTAAATCTCAGAAAAAAGAGATAAACAAACTAGGTTTGGTACATCCAAGGATACTTACTGAATGTCATGAGAGGAATATACATGTAGCTAGGCTTGGCTTGTAAAGTCAGGTGAATGCTCAAATGCAATTCAAATTCAAAAAAGCTCATCAACATGAAAATATGATGATTCCCCAAATATGACATGCATTAAGAAGACAAGGTCTAGTAGCAAGAGTAAAAAAAAAAAGAAACTCCTACTGAGGAAGTGGCATATAATAGCATGACTGAAATAGTATAGAGATTGGACTGTGAAAGATTGGCACAAGGTTATCTGGTCAGATGAAAGCAAGTTTATTATTATGAGGAATCCAAAATTACCTATAATGTCACAACATGTTAAACCAATGGTGAAGTATTAGTATGGCAAGGAGTCAGTCATGGTATGGGCTGCTTCAGTTATTTTGGTGTCAGACTATGTTGTAAAATTGACAGTCAAACGAATGGTGAACTATATCAAGAAATTTTAGCTGATTATGATGAATTGATGGGACCATGATTTAGGTATTAATATTAATGATGTCATCTTCCAGCATGACTATGACCTGAAACATGCTGCTCATGAGACTAAGATAAAGAGGTGGTTGATTTTGTGTGTCCTTTATTAAGCACAGCTAAATAAAGAGCTGGTTGAGTGAACACCATATTAAGGTTTTAGACTGGCCCACATGCTCACCAGATGTAAACCGTATTGAACATTTATGGAACAAAATGAACCGTTGGTTGTGCAAACTCCCTGGAAATATATCAAATAAAGATAAACTCTGGAATAAATACAACAGGTATGGAATGAGGTTTTGTTTATGTTTGAAGCTAACTGATACTACTTGCCACAAAGGATGGTAATGTCATAAAAATTTCAGGTCCAGGAGACGAAATAAAAAAAAATTCATATATTAATATTAATATTCTGCCTTCGTATTCGGTGTTGTGCCAAAAGTATTGCACACTGTATTTTTTCCTTTATTATTATTTGGATTTTTTTTTCAAATACAAATAAAGTTGCGATAAAAAATTATGTTGTCTGATATCTTAAGACATAAAAATGAACCATGTGTACCACTTTTGGTCAGTTAAAGACCATAGTTAAAATTTTGTCATGAGTGGTGCAATATTTATGGATGTCATTGTATAATCCGGTTCAATTTCCAATACTTTGTTGACATCGCATAACGCCCGATCATACTGTTTGAGATCATTATAGACGTTTTCCCTTACAGACAATGCTACTACATGATCTTGTTCGATTTCCCAATACTCTGTTAACATCATTCATCGAATTGTCATATTGGGTAAAACATAAGTGTTAGCCCTCACATTCGATGCCCACGCATTATTTGGCTCGATCTCCAATGATTTGTTAATATAGTTTAGTGAATTGTTGTATTGTTTTAAACGTTTATATAGGCGTCCTCTGACACTCGATTTGTTAAGATCGTTCAGTAAATTTTCGTCTCGTTTTAGATGTTGATAGAAGGCTTCCCTTATGCTCAACGCTCATGCATCATTTGGTTCGATCTCCAACAAATATTAAAATCATTCAGTAAATTGTCGTATTGTTTTAGCTCATAAGAGACAGCTCCCCGTACTCTCAACGCTTTCACATTATTTGGCTCGATGTCCAACGATTTGCTAAAATCATTTAACGAATTGTTCTAGACAGTGATAGGCATTTCCTCGTTCCCTCAATGCCCATGCATTAGTTGGTTCAATCTCCAATGATTTGTCAAGCTCATTTATTTTATTGTAATACTTTAATCTCTTCTGAATCGCTTCACAAGATGGCCGCTTATTTACGTCTTCGTTCCGACATTCTGAATACATATTAATATATTCGTCAGGTGTTCCAGGGAAGGAGGATCACGAGAGCCATTAAGTCTATACATAATAATACCAACAGTTTCAGCACACCTGCCACAAGGGGTTTCTCCACTCGATATTTCCCAAAGTATGACTCTAAGGCTAATAATTACATCAGATTTCTTTCCACGGTGATAGTGGATCTTTATATGCCGGTGCGCCTTCGTCACGCAATTTAGACATTGTTTGTTTCAACACGTTTGATAAGGTCGGTTATCTTTGCAACACCCTGACTCGATAAGAATATTACTGGAAGACTAGATTAAACGAAAGCAATCAGTTTAAGTACTAGTGTGAGTTAGACGACACACAAATAAAATTTGCGATAAAATACCAAGTCCGTGTGAATAATATCAAGATTATGCAGATGTTTCAGTCCGTTGGTAATTTCTATCCAAGCTTGTATTTGTCTTTCCAGGTTCTTTGAAGTGCCTTTTCAAGTGTTCACAACGCCTTCCACCGTCAGCCAGTTCGAAAATTATATGACAATTGTAATATTTGTCTGTATATAATAAACACAAGATTATTAGTGTGCTTAAATTATGCTATTCTGTTTTTGAAAGGCAGGTTGTGGCAAACATACCTTTATATAACCTAAAAAACTAATAATATTGGGATGGTCATTCGCTTTCTTAGCTAATGTATAACATCGATGCAAAAATTAGTCTATACGAAATATGAATGTGCGATGTTGCATAACAAAAGATAACATCAACCTCTTTAACCAATTGCTGGTGCAAACCTCCTTCAGAATCCCCGGAAACAATATACATGCCAGAGTAAATGTTCTGCTTTCTGCTAAAGATAATCGTAACAACACCGTAACCCCCTGTTTTATCGGCCTTAAACACTGTTCGAAATCCTCCAAGACCAATATGTAAAGGATCAAGTTCTATGTCATTTTCTGGATAGCAATAGATGGAACCTTCTTCAATCCTTGCCTCCAACCTAACCATTCCTTGTATGAATTATCAGATACCAGAGACATTGTTAACATTAAGCTAAGCAAGATTGCGTAATCTCCATATCTCGACCCTGCGAATGAATGTAGTGACACAACAGGAGTACGAATTCATAACGTGACCTGCATTGCAATCATACCAACAATCAGTTGACTTATGCAAAAATAGAGTTTTGCCGCAAGAATGAAATAAACAAAATTAAATTTATTTTTTCATTTTAAGAAACAATCTCTTCGCTGTATTTAAAGCTGGATTTACACATTCAAGAGATAGAAATTAGTATTAGAGCATTTGTGTCCCTGTGAAGCAGTGACATTAAAAAAAATTGTCAAAGTTGATTATTTCATAAAACTGACCCTTAGCTAGTTTACCAATCTTATTCAGTGGGAGAGGAATGTTTTCTTTCTAGTACTAGTTCAAAACTAAAAACTTAAAATAATAAATTAAAGAACCAACAGAACGATCAAACAAGGGCTGATTTGCAAGAAAGCCAAAAAGGAGGAAAAAAGCAAACGTGGATTTAAAAGACGTAGTTGGCTAAAATTATTTATATTAGGCAAAGATACCGAGGAAATGAATGGCGATTAAGTAATTATAATCTCTCGAAACTAATCCTGGTAAAAATATAAAGAAAGGAGAAATCCCGAAAAATTAGAACTCAACAATTGAAAACAAATAAACAAAAAAAAAATCAAAAAACGTCGAGAAGAACAAGCCAAATCGAGCAAAAGTCAAATAGTAAGCCCATGTTTTCCCATAAGAATATATGAGGCAATGGCCCTTGTGTTATGAAAAACGCCATGTTTTTCGAAAGATGGAAAATGGTCAAGAGTGTTATATAGTTTTTCTTAAAACCATCCCCGGTTTTTGTATTAGTAATGGTGTAATTAATGTGAGTCGAAAACAAGTTCTGGATAGTCAGTCTAAAAATATTTCAATGTATTAATAAACTCCTGAGTATCAAAGTCTTTTATTGTTGAGACTTTCTGAAATAAAAAATTGCATATATTGTTATAAATCTAAGTAATGCAATTACTAAATTTGACGCAAAAACAAAACAAGTTAAGAACAGATCGTTTAAGTAAATGAATTTCTTCTTTAGGAAGTTCTCATTTACTTGCCATAAACCGACGTTGTTCTAGCAACACCATTTGGTAGTTGTATTAGAGCTTGATGTCTAATGTATGCAAAGACTCGTGCCAAATCATAAGATGCTCAAACTCGGAATAGACAATTAGTTGTTTACGGCATTCTTTTTGCGTTAACCTCGTTTTTTTTAGTAGAAAAAGTACGTGCTTTTGAGCACGTTTTTTAACGGCATTAGTTTTTTTTGCCGTGTAACTTTGTCTGGACGAACAAAAAAAAATTTTTTTTGTAAAATCATAGAAGTAGCTTTATCCAAAATGTTTGCCTTTGAGAACAAATTCAAAGCAGTTCTAAAGTTGCACTTGATAATTTGTTTCTTCTAGCTGCCTCCTGGATTTTTGGCGACTATTCGTTGAACTTGAGCATTGTACGAATGACCGCTCTGAAGTTTCAAATTAATGTTTCTAAATCACGCTCCGTTTAGAAATTTTTTGTATTATTAGCGTGGCATCAGTCTCTGAGAGCTCAAACTAACATTTTCAAAACTTATTGGAATAAGTTGTCGTTTCGGGTGACGTTGACGACTAATAGGCCAAATACTTATTCAGACACATTCTGCAAATTGCGTAATTTTTTTATCGTAAGTATTTGGTTCAAGAAAAAAATTGCCAAACAATTTATGGCAATTTTATTTTTTTGCGTGACAAATTTTTATTTATATTTAATTGTAGACATTATGTTAGCTTATCTCTTAAATTACGCTACAATGTATCCCAAGCCAAACATGCGTATCCGATAATAATTTGTTTAAAACTGCAAACGTGCGGTTACCATTACTTTGACAAAAGCGAATATTTGGGGTGTGACGTTAATATAATCGTGTTCTTGCATATATACAGTACATTTTGTGTAATGACTATTTTCCGTTGCGTTGCATATGACCGAATATGTTCATCAATACTTTTGCAATAGTATTATAATTTAATAATGCTCTTGATAAAATATAGTATAAACAGATTAGCAACACATAATTCTAGTGTGTACAAATTTCTTTACTATACTCTTTCTAAACATCTTTCTTTTGAATGCAGTTATTCGACGTTATTTTATTTTTTCGGAAAATATTGTTGAGTTTTCTACCACGGTATACATGCATTATTGAACAAATTGCACAACATCATGATGCTGCGTACATGCGGCAGGTATTATAACTTTTATAACTTTAAGAAATCGGATCTGGTTATAAATAAAGCCGTCTACAATGCCGCTTATAAAAACAATTCAAAGATTGTTGTACTAGAAACTGCTTTAAGCGTTATGAACAGACGCCGGAGCTTTTTGTTAAGGAAGCAAGTATTTTTTGATTAAAAAATATTTAATCAAACTATATACTATGCTCTTTAATATTCAAAACTATGTCAAAGTTTGCGATATGGTTCTTGAAAACACAAGAAACGTATTATGCATGACCAATACACTTTTATTTATTTGCGTAACAAACTCAATTATTCTCGAGCGTTTATTATTTATTCTACCTAAAATCTTGAGTTTTATTGAAATTACACAAGACGTTTTTTTATTGAATGTAAGGCATATATTCATATTTGAATTTGTTTTAAATATCTGTTAGTTTGCATAAAAAACATGAAATTGCAACTAAAATAATGACTGTATATTAGGGCTATATTTGGTTCAACAAAAGACCACTTTTATTATGTAAAAGTAAGGTACGATTTGAAGTAATCAAATAATAAAGCAAATATAGAATAGTGCATAACTAAACAACGATTGATAGAACTAACAAAACCATATATTGGTTTACGTCAGCAAAACTTAAATTTAAATACTATCGTTATAGTCTTGCAATACAATGGATTCAGTTCTACCCAGCACATGATTCAGAAGCATTCCTAATCTATACCCCCCTTTAGCAAGCTGCATATCGATGTATGGAACAACCGCATTATAATAGTCACCGGCTAAATCCTCATTTGGGTTATCAAGAACGTACTTCCATACTACGTTATTACAATTGAGAGCATTAGTATCACTAGCCCATTGTAACGGACATTGCGTGACTGCATTAGCCTCCCCTATACATGAAGTCCAATCAGATTTAATGTCTTTGTAAGAACCGGAAGTGATTGCGAGAGTTAGGGTCGTGGCGTATGCTTCTATATCGGCGTCAGTAAATTTACTTTCCCCAGGCATTGTTTCTTCGCTCGAGCTCGAAAAATCCTGTAATCGTTTTTCGATCTGCAAGTAAGGAGTGGAATACAAGTTTTGAGTTTAAGTCTTGCCCAACTTTGTGCGTCCAATTTTGAAAATTGATTAATTGGAAGTAAAATCGTAGCACGCAAACCATTACTTACCATATTATCATCCCAGATGAAGTGAAGTTTATCCGACTCTTGATTGAATGTTACGTTAACATTCTTTGTTGTAAATACAGTCAGAATATTAGTATTTGTTTCAATCGCCACAAAAAAGGCGGGTTACCGTTAATAAAAAAACATATACCAGTCCGCCCGTTTCCTTTCCGCATGCATGTAGCGCTGGTATTAAATATAGGCCTGTGAGTAACATTGTTTACTAACATTTAGTCGCTTTATTACTTAGCTACTTACGTTGTGTTATGTCTCCAAGGAAATGGGTGAGGAATTTGAGCGCAATGTTCCTTTCTCCAAATTTAAAACCATTTGAGCTGTCCAATTGATATGTGTAATTGGTAATGGCTGAAATAAAATAAAGGGTTAGACGTTAATTCAAACGTTAACTTATTGAACGACTATAAATATTAATTTCTCGTTTATCTTTCGCATATATTACTTGCCTGCAACAATGCACCTTCCCTGTTTGCAATCACTGTCCTATAGAAAACAAGTTGGCGAAATACGTTACAGCGATCAAGTATAAAAAAAAAAGGTTTAACCGGATTGTCGAACTGTTCTCACCATTGAAACCGTGCAAGTTTTCGGAGGATTATCATGAGTGTCGATAAAGTGAAGCGGCTTGGCCCAATTAAACGAAGGGTCCTTGCGTTTAATTTCATCAGCCCACGTAGATACAGCTTCCAATGACTCACCAAGTAATGCATTCACTTGATTGCTCACATCATCCGTGAGAAAGTTTTGTGCTATACGCCCAACTGTACGGTGGCCTGCAGCACCCCAAGAATAGGTGACGGGAGTAAAGCAAGCCAAGAGAGTGATTAAAGAGAATATGAACAACTTCATTTTTTTCCAAGAAGAAAGGAGAGAATGAGATATTGTGTACACTAGTTGCGGAAGAGTATTTAACTATTCCAATCTGTGCCATGATACAGAATCGCAAGCTACTCGAGTAAGTGATTTGAGCAACTTTCACTGGAAACATGACTTCCCTGATTGGCAAACTATTTCCAAATAAAAACTTTGCCCCCGGAATGTCTCAATTAACCAATGACCGGTTGTGTCATGCGCAAATTTTTGGTGTTGCGCAATTTTTCAAAATGGAAATTTATCCGTCCACCGCCCAGCCGAAATGTCGGCAATTAACCAATTAACGGTTATTTTCAAATAAACCGAGCAACTTTATCTACAGATAGACCTCATCCACTGACGAATGTCAACTTGTCTAAATAGCAACAATAGCTACAGCACCCTATAATATCCACCCGCTCTCGTAAGCTTTAGGTTAGGGTACAGCACACACAGTAGCACAACGTTTTGTTTGTTTTTGTTTGTGTTTTGTTTTGCTTTTGTGTTTTCCAGAATTGTGTGCTGCGAAGTTTATTTGGAATATCTGTACTACTATGAGGAAACGCCCCCAGTCAGGACAATTTTTAGAAGCCAATAGTTTATTACGTTTTATGTATACGAATATATTGAGTATTTAGGATTTGGTATCAGAAAAACTTTAATCGATCCAGGAAAGCAGACAATTTATGTGTAAGATTGTATAAAAAATGTGAATAAGTATAAAATAACGATGACCTTGTTGCGACATTAGCTATTATCAAATGTCCTAATCATCCGACATGTATAGGTTTGCCACTAATACAATTACGATTGCGTTGATTTAATAACAAAATTAACGCAAACGAACACTCAAAGAAAAGCTACTACTATTCATTCTATGGCTTTTTACTTCCTTGACTTTAAGTTTATAAGTGAAATTAATTGCTTTTGCTAAATATGTTTCAAGTACTATGACTCAATCTGTAGAGAGACATTAATTATCCAGCAACTTGTAAAGCGTATCGCAATAAGTACAGACAATTTATTGCCGAGTATAGAATTGCGCATATTTCTGATGACGAGTTGCACACTCCGTATAGAGTTGGTTTATTTTAGTTGAACAAAGTATTACTCTTAATTGTTGTAAATGAAGAAATTTAATGTACGTATATTTGGGAGTCCTAATATAGCGATAACTACGCTTATAATATATAAGGGTTAATTTACGACAATTTTTTGTTACCCGTTTATAATAAACGGGGTTGAATATTGCAAAACATAACAATATTCTGAATAAACTAATCCAGCCTTACTAACGGAAAGATAAAATGGTTTTGGACTTTTTTATATAGAATTCTCTATCACTTAACAAAGACATTTTTTTCAATTATCTTCTTCAGAAAGTCTAAAACCACCTCTGATAAACATTACTCAGAAATCAAAAGCAACTATCACCACCGACTTTCACCGTTTCTATACATTTATTGAATTTTCTAAAAATAAACCATCATCGTCCGTTTTCCGTAGCTTGGCAAATTACTGATTCAAACTACTCACTGCATTTCGAATCAATCGCTAAAAACAGACGTCCACGCATACCGACAAACGTTGCGTCCGTCGTAGATTATTTGACAACACAAACGCGCGCTTTGCTATTAAATCAAACGCCTAATCCCGTTGAAGAATGACAGTAATACTGTATACAAAAAGCGATATGTAAAATTGTGAGCTTAAACAATCGGTATACACTTGACAAAGTAAACTTTTACTAACTAAAAAATGCAGGTTGTCAGACGAGCACACAGACGATGTTCATAAATAAATGGATATCTATTTTGCTATTTTTAACTAGAGAAACTTTTATGTTTCTGCCGCCGCAGTTGATTAGGAGTTGTAGATATTGTTGATTGTATTTCTTTATGTCGTACCATAACTATCAGCTAATAGAATGCTATAGAAGAATATAAATCTTGTTATTGAAAATTTGATATTAATAATCACGAAAATTAATTACAGTGTTGCTTAATAATTACCGTAATGCATTGCAGCAAGCATAAATGTAATAAATTGTCAAAAACTTTAACGTTAAATAATTGTCACTCTCTATGAAATGTATAAGTTAGTATAATTATACCTAATTAATGAAACGTCAGAAATATAAAACGAGATACGGCGCATAATGAACTCGCAAAAGCAACTCTATTCAATACATAATAGAATATAAATAGAATAGAATAGAATGAAATGGGGACATAATAGTATAAAATTGGTTTCGTGTTACCGTATGACGTTAACCGCATAAAACTAACCAATTGACCGATTACTGACAAATTTTATTTTTAAAGAAAACCATACAGCACGGAAAAGTTACGTTGCTACAAAGAATAATAGCAAAATATTATAATTTTCAATGCTATCTTATGTTTTTTTAGCAACCATTCTCATACTGCCCACTTGCTTGCTTGTTTTTATTTTACCAACTCTTAATTTTTGGTTACAAATTAGGTAATTAATTGATTGGTAAAGAATTTCGATAAACGCTAACAGACCGGGGACATGTCACGCCGAATGTATTTTCATAGTAAAGTTACACAAGCCGATTATTTGTTTTGACGTTGACATGAATTTTCTCTTAGATGTCAATAAGACAACAGCAGTAGTAATAGTAGTCAAACTTAAATATCTTGTTAACTTCTACCATTTGGCGGTTACAAATGTTAAAGAACATGGTTCGTTAAAACGTTATATCAGATTAAAGTTAAGGTGTTTTTTAACTTTAGGGTAAGATTCTTTTCAAGGTATGTGCGGTTTAACTTTATGACACCAATTTTCTAATGGGAAATACATCAATAAACATACTGTAAAAGTTTGGTGTGGAATGTGTGCATACAGGAGGAGATAGCTATGGACAAACTGTGATTTTACTATAGAAACCGCTTGGCAAATCTTTGCCATTTCGGTAAATCAAACAAATTTGGAAAAGATTTGCCAAGCCGTGGAATGGATTTCTATAGTAACTAGAACAAAGTTTATGTGGGGGCTTCGCCCCTTGTGCGCGTTTGTTGTTGATATGTGTTAAGTTATCGTAATTTATGATTGCAATAATTTTTGTCAATGTTATAACAAAATATAAGTCTATTGTTTATTGATTTATTTTATATAGTATACTACCATTTAGTCAGGGAAAAAAATAACATTTAACATAGAAAGTAGTTATAACTCTTTCTGTGGGGGTAATTTTAATTTTGCTGATGCTAAGTCTGAAGTATTCGAACGTAATTGTCTATTGGGGGTTCACTTTTTTTTCTTGCTTGATGAATTTTGGTAAATCGCGATCACTCTCAACTGTAGCCGCAGAATCAGTGTCTTGGCTGTTTAAAGGTTTAGAAGAGGAAAGTGTTGGATTTGTGATATTATCGGTTCGGTGGTTTTCAAGTTGTCAAAGAGTGATTTGTCATGAGTGTTCTTTTTTCCGATAAAGGAGTTGGGGTCGAGTGGTCATGAGATATGGAGTAATTTGAGGAGACGTGTCGAGGGAAAGAAAGTCAAAGTTGTGAAGCTTTAAGTAGAGCTTGTTGTTATATACGTCTAATTCGCCGACAATAGATACTTTTGTGCCAATTTTTTGCTTTCTTTGTTCTTTCATGTAGATTTTTTTTATAAGAATTATGACGGATTTGTATATCAAATTCTGCAAGTTGTATTGTAGGGCCAGTCCCGGAGACATATTGTGTGGCCCGTATACTACAAATGTTGTCATGTTATTACGAGCTTGCGCCAGAGATTTTATAGTACCAACCGCTCGTAGCCAACTTCGTGCATGAGGAAAACTTTTTGAGAGACATGACATTTGAACGGTTTAATCTGCAAAAAGTGTGGTAAGTACTAATTAATGGTATTACTGGTTCAATCAAGGTTTATGTGGTTAATTTATACGTACTGTAATGATATTATTTTCCAACCTCGTAATAGTTCCGGCCAATTCAACAACATCATCAGCCATAAAAGGCAATGTTGCAGACCAGTCGGAATTGTTTTTAGGTACATAAACTTCAAAGTAAGGAGCAATAGTTTCTTCAGCAAATAAGAAATATTTCTGTAGCTTTAAGTATTTGATGTTCGGGACGATTATCTACTTGGACTTCAATGACGTGCACAGCCGTTGAGTCGAAATGAACTAACATTTTTTGCTGGTAAATAGAGTCAAAATATTGGGTATCTTTTTAAAGATGATGTGATGTACGATTTATGTCTACTGTTTGAGAATATGTTTGCGGTGAGGGTTGCTTTTAAAGCATTTGGTAAATGGTGTAATTTTGCTGCTTTACACAATTTGTTGCTACGTATGTATTTGTGATGTAACGGTGTGGCAATAATATTCGCGCCGTTTTATTAAGCTTTAATTTAGGTAGTTGCTAAATGCTTTTTTAATTGTGAAATTTACGTAAATTACATCATGTTTACATTAGACACGACAAACGTTCTTGATTAAATGGATACGGTAATATTTACTTCGTTTTGCTATTACATGAGTAATTGATATGAATTAATTTTTTTATAATTAAAACGCATTATAAGATTGCGTTGAATAAGTATCGAAATAAAATTGCATTTTAAACCAATTGCTTTGTCTAAAATACAAAAAAAAGCATTCATTAATATGAATAGAAAGATATGTATATAATTATTTCGTTTACAAAATACGAAAACGAAGCTATTTATTAATATTGAATAAGAAAGCTATGTTATATATTCTAAATAAGAGTTATTGAAATGGCGTATTCAAATTGCCAGTAGGCTAAAGAGTTAAATGCGGAAAATATCAAGATGACGTAATTACAATGTGTCGATATAAAAGAGTTGACGGTGTGAAAATGTGATCAAATAATTTAGTGTCACATCATAAAATGTTGATGATACTATTTTTGGTAAGAGCGTAAAAAAATTTTGCTTCGATTGAGTAAAGATTCGCTAAACAAACGGTAATGGTCAACTAAACGTTATATTTGAATGAGTGGATTTGTTGTAGCCTTATTTTTTAAACGTTCATATTCGAAAATTATGTCTTGATCGACAGAAAATGCTTGTTTATCCAGACAGGCTATTTCTACGCAGTCCCAAGATGGCGCACGGCTTAATGCAGTGTAAGCTTAGCCGACGGCAAAGAATGTCTATCCAAATATAGGGATATGTGTGGCAGCGTTAGCCCTTGAGATTTGTGCACTGTAAGTGCGAAACAGTTTTGTAAAGGAAATTGTCTGCGAGAGGCGTTCGTTCTATTAATTGAAAAGTAGTACGTTTTGGCTTGTATTAGAGATTTATTACCGAGAAAAGTAACGTAAATCTACTATCATTTTATTGGTATAATGACTTTACGTAGCCATTCATTGTATAACAGAGAGGGAAGAATGTGTAAAATTAACGTTTTGATTTTGACGATACAGGCGCTGCAGTATTTGAAAATACGACGCCGCGACCATCTGGAAATAAGTCAGGAAATGAACCGGCTTCTAGTTCGGGATCATTAAAGCGTAGTGGTATTCGTTCATATCAAAAAGCTGCTGCACAGTCCCAGGAGTATCGTGTTGTAACGGAGAACTCCTTGGAGAAAGCCCTATAGTTAAACGGAAATAGTGGGTATTTACGTTATGTATTTCATTGGGGAAAACGTATGATGATAAAACTATGTCTGACGGAGTTACGGGAAAAGTAAATTCATTATTGCTATCAAATACATGGTTGCCTGTGGCCAAACAGTAGGAGATGTTTGGGAATTATGCGTGAGCAAATGTGAAGCAATAGAATGATAACAGAAAAATAAAGATTATTTTGTTGGAGCCAATTACAGGCATAACGCAAGGATGGGTGGTGCCAGCGATTATCAGGTGCAGATAAATCAGCGTTTTGCAAAAATGCACCAATCATACCAGAATAAAGTGAAAATATTCTTCGGTTTTTAGAATATCCCATTTGACCAGTGAGTGATCGATACTCTGCACGGGTTTGTATCAGCAGATCGACCTAAACTGGTGTGTAGATATATGGGAAATAGATATTTTCTTTCAGCATATGGTACATCGTGAATGCATTGAGGTATTGGAGCAAGCGTAAGACAAGTTCTATTATTAGAATTTGATTGCATCCATCGTAAACTGTTGCGTTGCGTGGATTAGTAATAAGATTTATTTCTGGAAAAGATATCTCTAACGGATATGTAATATCATTATTTCTGGTGCCCATTTTGCAGATTATTGGTATAATAAGCGCGAGCAATAAGAACAGGGAATGCATGGAAATTGTGCGTAATCTTCTTCATAAAGATTTTTTTAAGTTCATCAGAAGGACGCCAATATGGTGTAGTTGAAGAGTTATAAGTCTGGATAAGTGTCATCTCAGATGGAGAGGACATAGAAGGGTAAGTGAGATGGTTGTCATTAATGGACAATGAATGGGTAGCATATTAAACGAATTCGTTAGTTTGAAGAGAATCAACTGTGAATATATCGACGACTTGAGACATTTTTTGTTGTTGTATGGATAAATTCGCTTTATTAAGTCAGTAAGAAATGCGAAGGGGTTAACAAAGCTGTTAGTGCGTAGAGCAAGGTTGACAATAGAAATCGATTAGCGATCAGCACTGAGGGCAGATACAGTACATACTAATATTAATTTTTTTCACATGGCATATGCGTGTGTGCAACAAATACATGATTGATTGTTTACACGGGACGTTTGTGCCACAAGTACATGCTATTAAGCGTAAATTTATTTCAAGTGTAAATTTATTTCCCTTAGTTTACTTAATCGGTTAGTATAGCGCTCTCAAAATCGAAATCTATGACGAAAAAAGCGTAACGTTGATCTTTAGTCATTTTTATAATGACGTAATGCAATTACAACTGTCTTTGCAAGACGGGCGGAAAACTATATTATAAAATATATGATAAAAGGGTAATTATGTATACTAAAAGCATAGCGTATTGTCTTCTTATGACGACATTACACTGTAAGGCAAGGTTTTTGCCCAGTTTGAGAGACTAGCGAAACATGATAAAAGTAATATAATAGAGCAATAATATGATGACGAAAATTAAACTTTAGTCGCTTTAGTTGCATTCTTAATACGACGTAATATTGATAAGACAAGTTTTTGCCCAATTGATGTCAGCGCAAGACATGATCGAGAGAATGACGGAAACATGATAAAAGTGATATAAACAAATGATAATAATATGACGAAAAGCATAGCATTAAACTTTAGTCTCTTTAGTTATGACGACATAATACTGTTAAGACAAGTTTTTTGTACAATTAATGTCGGCGCATGATCAAGAGAATGACAGAAATATAATGAAGTGTTGTTTGTAATAAGAAGCATGAAAATAAAGACGACGGAATATTGTTAAGACAAGTTTTGCCTAATTTGATGTCAGTGTAAGACATGATAGAATGAATGACGAAAACATGATAGAAGTGATATAAAAAAATGATAATAATATGACGAAAAAAGCATAGCATTAAAGCTTTAGTCTCTTTAGTTATGACGACATAATACCGTTTAAGACAAGTTTTCTGCTCAATTGATGTCAGCATACGACATGATCGAGAAAATGACAGAAATATGATGAATTGATATAATGAATATACTTTAGTTGCGTTATTATGATGACAGAATGTAGACGTTAAGCTAATTAGTCGTACGCTAGCACAATTTTGATCAACACAAAACATAATCTAAGAAAAATGACGAAATATGATGAAAGAATGATATAATAAGAAGAAAACGTTTTCTCTATAAAAGCATCCCTCTAAGCTTGGGTGGTGGGTGGGTAAAGTCTAAGTATATAAGATTCCCCGTAAAGATCGACACAAGAAAATGCTATAAATGTGTATTTGAAGGTTAGCAGGAAAATATATTAGGGAAAATTAATTTAAACAGACAAATAAACATCAGAGAAAAATCAAAAACAGTTAGTAAGATGCACAGGTAAAGGCGATGGAAATGTACTTTATGCTAATTTCAAACATACATAATCTAACTTACTGTACACTATTATTAACGTTAATATTTTTCTTAATTAAAATAGCCATTATTTGTTAGTTGATAGGCGCATCTATTATGATAACCGTATGAAAAAAGTGTATACAACTCTGCACTATACTATTATCTGTGTGCTTTATGATAACATTATTTATTGTTATAAAAAAATGACGTTTACGTTTTCATCTTCATTATGACAAAGGTGAGATCTTTTTGTTACGGTGGAAAAAGTCTGCGGAAGAAGGTGACAAGAGACCGACCGTCGATTATAAAAATAAACTCTCTCAGAGGCGGGGTGGGTCATAAAGTACGGACATAAGGTATTAGTTGAGATTTCCTGCAAAGATCTACATGAAAAATTACTATTACTATGTATTTGACAGTTAATGCGAAAAAATTAATTAGGAATCTAACAATTTAAACAGCACATAAGCATCAAGAAAAAGTCAAAAAAGAAAGTTAGTAACATGATCAGGTGATAGCGATGAAAATGTACCTAATGTCAACGTAAGCAGGTTTTATTACGAGACTTTTGCAACAATAATATAAACAATATTAATACATTTGTCATGTATGAGAATTAAGTAAACAGCTCGTAATAAGACATTCGTTATAAACTATAGTTAATAATGTTGTGTTAACATTATTACATGTATCAAAACGAAGCGAGTCTTTTCGTCGGCCGTAGTATAGTGTTTTCACTATGCGTTCCTTCGTAGTAAACATTTAACACTTTTCTTAACAAACATAAGGCAATGCAACGTTGTTATGTGAAGAAGAAATATTGTATTATTATTTCTGTCTGATATTGTATAAACGTTGTAAACGTTATGAAAGTATAATTATAATGGTTCGTAGCTCAACAGAGATATTCATGGCAATGTCAGATGTTACGTTACCGAGTATGGATAACAACCTAGGTAATGACTCACATTACATAGCGGAAACACTCAATAGAGAATTCGACAAAATTAAGTTCCTCACGTGAGAGCGTTCATAATTAGCTTGCTGTCCGATTCACTGAACCAAGTTTAACTCCGATAGTAGTTAGTAATGTCAATTATTAATTGAGTCACCGCCTTGCCTATTTTATGTTATGTAATGTTACTTCGAGTTGCTTACTGCTCGATGCCAAAGCGAAGAGTATCATAATATTACTGAACTAAGTAAATAGAGTTACACTTCTCGATGCTTAGGAGGAATAATGGTTACGGAAATATTCGTCTAGACATGTGCTTATCGTGACGAGTCATTATTTGTAGAAGGCTATAATGAGAATAATTCGTATAATATTTAGTTACACAGCGCCCAATAATAAAGAGACACTGAATAAAACCCCTATTGCGTTGGAAGCGTTACTGTATATTGTTTTTACATTAGGTAAAAATCTTTGGTCTTTTGTTGACATCAAGAATTTGTAAGTTATGTATAATTAATTTTGTACGTTAATTTGCGTTATAAAATATAAAATATTTATCTATTTATCGTTATTATAAATAATTTTGTCTCCATCTTTTCTTCGGTGGCTTAACTCATTTGATGACAACGATTGGTCAGTCTTCTACACTAGTCTTTACCAAGGTAATTTTTCGCTTTAAATGGTTAGCATCATGCAGTAAAGTCCGGGTCAATCTTATATAATTTCTACAATTTCTATTCATTGCATTTCGATTCATTTCATTTCGATTCATTTCATTTCGTTTCATTTCATTTCGTTTCATTTCATTGAATTTAATTCCCCCGGAGCGAAGTTCATTTTATACCTTTTTTGTGTGCACTCACCTGACAAATGGGTTTCCCACGATTCATACAAAATTTGACTGCATGTTTACTCACCTGACAAAAGTGTTCCCACGATTCATACGCCCAATTGACAAAATTTAATTGCATGATTACTCACCTGACAGAGAAGTGATTATCGACAATATGTCACGTCCCGTTTATTGTTGTTATCAATTTAATGTACGGCCTAACCAGTAAAAAACTTTTATTCTAAAATGTTTTACCGATTTTATGCAGCCCCTTATTACGTAGATACTTATAAGGTAACGTGTGACAAGCGATTGACTATATAACACGCAAGCACGCACGCTTCTCTCCTTCTGTCATCACCTCATTTTACGCGAATAAGCTATCGAACGAAGAACAATTTTCGCCGCGCTCTAAATTACACACAACACATCGGCACGCAAACAGCAAGTTACCACCATACAAACAACCACTTCTCGGAGGCGTAATAGAACGTATGTAAACTTAAACATACAGACAAACAAATCTTTTCCGCGATTTTGTCATAGACAGTTTAATAGAACTTACACCCAAATGTTTCTCTTTATTTCGCGCGTCGCTCATAACATCTTCTTTTCTAAAGCGTAAGTACTAGTACAGCAAACAATTCTATAGTACGGGCGTGTAAAAAAAAGCTCGCATTTTAAGTCGACAACTGAGGCTTTGTTAACAAAACCATTCTTAATAAGAACAAAACTACTCTCTTCTGCTATCGGATGAGGAAAGTAAAAATCACTTGTGTGCTTAATAGTCGCTGTACTGTAATTTTTTCCGTACCTTGCGACGGGGACACTATTATTCGTACTAAAATTTTGCTGCTACCAAAAGATATAGTCAGCCACTTTTACCGCCTGGGAAAACCTCTCGATCAAACGTGAAGAGATGACGTCTTTTGAAGAACATTGTGAAGCAAAGTAACAGGGAAGTATGTCAATTATTTGCACATCTAGTATATTAGGCATTGCGTATAAGTGGATAGAGCCTCCCGGCTTAAGAATCTGTGATGTGTGGGGATTGCAATCACTCATGCGTTTCAGATCAGTGGTGGTAACTTGGAGATTGCGATCATTCAAGTTCAGAGGCCATGATTGCGATCACTGGACCTGAACCACTCCACACGCATTTGCCTTCACAAACATCTTATCTGCGATGTATGAGGATTGCGATCACTCATACCTCTCCAGAATAACTTGGTGATTGCGATCGTCAAGTGTATCAGGCATCGCTTATAGTGGATAAAGCTTTATAGGCTTAAGAATCTGTCATGCATGGGGATTGCGATCACTTGTGCGTTTCAGATCAGTGGTGTAACTTGGAGATTGCGATCATTCAAGTTCAGAAGTCTGGGATTGCGATCACTGGACTTGGACCACTCTTAAGGATCTGCGATGTATGGGGATTGCGATCACTCATACGCTTCCAGATCCAACAAAAAATAGATAGTTACCAAAGTATTCTAGTTGTTATAATTTGACGCTAATATTTTGTTTTTCTTTTTGGTTTCGAGACATGAATAGACAACACGTTCGGGTTTATGAATATCACGGAGCAGACTAGCTGTAATTCTCGTCGTCGGTGAGTTTATATAACTTGTATTTTTTTTCTTATTATGATAAGCTCATTAACACCCTTTACTTCTTTACAATAGAATCCCAGAAGGTATTATTCAGAAAGTCAGCATACGGATACAACTTGTCACGATAATAATGTCATGAATTCAAATTTGTTGCTTACAGAACGTTGAGCCAGATTTTCACACTTTTTCGACACATTATGCATCGATTTATGCGAATAACTGGTAATACGCTTTTGAATAAAAATACAAGCCACACCACATTATTGAACTTATGCGAGTCAGAGAAATTTAGTTGTTAACCGTAATGTCAAGCTTTAAACTAATATACATTAGAGTCAAACTGTAATGCGAAACATCAGATACAATTGCCATAATGATAAAGGATACTACCAATGTAAACCATCGTATGAATCGCTCGCTTATTATCTAGCTGCAATGCCAAATAAATGTCAAACAATAGAATACAACATACCAAATACATTCTAACCATACTGCTAAAAAATTGTACCATGTATTTCAATGCAAGCATTGTGTGGTTTAAATCTACATAGCGACTGCAATACTATCTAATCATAAACTGTTAAATTTAACTAAATACGTAAGTAATGATTTTACAAATCGCGTTCGATGGCTGTAACCGTATAATGAGTGAGTCTAATAATTCAATGCCTATCTTTCGTACAGCATTTAGATTTGCACATTAGCAAAAGACAATCCAATTATTAACGCATTAGCATGTGATGTGTCGTATTTTTAATTTATTTTCCAGATTCTATGTCTTGTATATTGTTCGATTAGATGGTAAGAGTAAAGTGTTTACCATGCAAGATATCAAACTGTTTGAATAATGAGTTAGGCTGTACGATAGAATGTATCAGAGTTAATTACAGAGTGACAGATTGAATCTAGTCATTGAAGATATTTCTCAGACCTGGATAAAAAGATGGCCATCTTTCGAAGGACTGCTTATCACAAAGTCTATCATAATTTTTTGGTATTAAATGTCGTCGTAAACTATTGTCTAAATAGTCTCATAAACATTCGAAAAAACTATCGAAAAAACTATGCATACAGAAATACAGAAAGATCGCTCGATCAATTCCCCGAGCACAAAGAAGTTTTCTGATGACTCAAAGCAGCCAAAGTCAATATTACAAACAGTATTTTTTTAACGTTATTATGCTTTTACTGCCATCCATCCCAGCCGCATGTGATTCTCCGAGGCTTTGCCGGAGTCCGCCTATTGGTTTGTTAAACTG